ATTTAAACTCTTATTTATTTATTGGGCTAGCTAATCATAAATTTGATATCTGGTTTACTTTATAGGTCCAGTTTAGCATCTTTACTAATTATATCTTAACTATTTAAATCTAAATAAGTCTTGACTACTCTAGTAGATTTAGATTACTAATAAATAATTAGTTCAGGCTTTTATTCTTGCATGTAGTTTATATTTATTCATTTGTATATAAATTAAGTCTTTATTTAGTTTTTCTATATGTTTATTTATATAAATTATCTAATAAAGATATAAGCAAAACCTCATCTTTTAATACTAAAATAATAATAGTAATAAATATTAATATTTTCTAAAAATTTAATATAGAATGAAGTTAATAGAAAAGTGATAAATTTTTTCTAAGTAAAAGTTTACTTGACTTTAAGTTTAAATATTTTAGTAATTATTTTATTAAATTTTATATTTTTTTTTATTTTATTTTAATTCTATATAATTTCAAAATTAAAATAAAAAAAAAAACACAAAACTTTTTCTAACAATCACTTAATACACTCTCCTGATAGTAATGACCAGAATTTCAATAATCACATTGATCTAACCTAATTTGATCATAATGAAGCTATATATAAAACAATTTTTTTTTATATGCAAATTGGTTTTAGTTAAATAAGCAAAGTTGTATATTATAACAATTAGCATGTAATCTAAAAATTTTAAAAATTTATAAATTTTTGGGGTTATTTTTTAGCATTTTAGGTCGAAGTAAACAAAGAAAAAAAATAAATAAATAAAATTTTTATATGGCAACACATTACTAAACTGTATTATAAATATTTATTAAATTTTATTGAGGTTATTTCTCAAGTTCTAAAGCATTTAGGATTAAATTTTTATAAAAAAAAAGACTAAAAGATTCTTGAGAACCAATGAATTTAATTAAAAATTTTAATTAAAGAAAAAATATATTCTTTTGTATCTTAAAACTCTGCATAATAAACATTGTAAAAATTATATAAAATAGTCTAATAAAAAAAAAGTATGTATTGTATAATATAGCATGATATATATATTTTATTTTTAGAACTATATTTTTATAAATTTTTAATATTTTATTATATAAAATTCTAAGATACAAAAAAATATTTTTTTTGCTAAAATTAAAATTTTTAATTAAATTCATTGGTTCTCAAGAATCTTTTAGTCTTTTTTTATAAAAATTTAATCCTAGATGTTTTAGAACTTGATAAATAACCTTATTAAATTTTAATAAATATTTATAATACAGTTTAGGAATGCGTTGCCATATAAAAATTTTATTTAACCTGGAAAAGGTAGATAAACAAAGTTCTTTAATGTATAACTAGAGTACTGCTACTTCTTGCAAAACTGTGAGAGTCAGGTATATAGTAAGTACTCTTGTAAAAGACAAATCTAAGGTGAAACTTCTAATATTTTTAGAATCCTGTGACTTTTTAACTTGCTTTACTAAATTTCTTAAACACCACAAACATCTACTTTTTCTATTCTACTAAACATTCAACTTCTTCCTTCTCTATCTAATCAAATATAGCTTTTGAAACAATTTACAAAATAAACTTGTAATTTCTATTAAATCTAATTATAGTAAATAGTAAAGATCTTTAATAGCACCAAAGAACAGATCTGAATTAAACTAAAAAATTAATAAAATTAACTAAAAAATCTTATAATAAAGAGATCTATTAACCTAATTACCAGAGTTATACTAGAGAAAAAAAAATATACTTTAGAAGTATATATTAAGAAAAGGAGATTTAAAAGGTGTCTAAAGCCTAAAGAGACCAACTTTGCCAAGCTAACTTATTGAAAGATTCAAGAAACCAAAGATACAGAGTATAAAAGAAATAAGAAGTAGATATCAAGATCTAAATATTGAACTTTGCAAAAGTACTAGTAAGTAATTATAGAAATAAATAATCTAAATATATATATAAAACCATAGCAAAAGTTACTAAAAGTCTAGATGAGTGTATATATGGGATATATATTATTTTGGCAGATTTAATACAGAAATAAATGCTTTTCTAACCTTAAAAAAGAAACTAGATACTAGAAGTTAAAGTCTTAGGTCCCAAATTAAAAGTATTAAATATGAATATTATAAAGTTATAGAGTTTAAATAGGTAATCTCCTAGTAGATTACAAATATAGCTACTAGTGTAGAACCTTGAAGCAGACTATTGAAATAGGCAACCAAAAGTTGTATATATAGCTAGTTATACTTTTACAATATAAATATAATATAGCTTAGTTTGTGCTAAGTATTATATTTAGCTCTAATAAAGTATTAAGAGTTTAAGTACTCACATTAATATTTTAAAAAAAAATAATAATAATAAAAATTTAGCAAATTTGATTAATTAGTTGTCAAAATATTTTAATTTAAAAATTAAAAAAATTGTACTAAAAATAACAGGTAAAAAAATATCCAACCAGTATAATTACTGATTGTAGAAAGATTTATAAATAAATACAAATAGGTATTCTTATTGTAAACTGGTAAAATACTAATTTGAGAATATTTAATTATATTATTTATTGCCTATTGCAGTCAGATTATGGTGGGAATCAGAATAAAATAGGCTACAATAGAACAGCCTATTTGAATTAGTTTATTGATCTAAATCCTGATTACTTTATATTAACAAATATATTACAATAAGTAAAATTCTGATTAAATAAGTTTTTATTATATTGATTTTTAATCTGATTATTACTAATAGTATACTAATTAAAAAATCAGAATAATTGCCTATTGTATTAAATTATACAAAAAAGTAAATACAATTAAAAAATAACCTACAATTGGATTATTAAGTATATTTTTTTTAAATATTTAAAATTATAAAATAAACTATACCAAAATGGTATATTTTTATGTATAGAACAAGTTTACTTAGAGCATAAAGGTGGGATTAATTAGTAAAATTTTAAGGATAATATTTTTTATAATTTTATTAATAAAATTATAAAAAATATTATGATCTTTAAAATTTTACTAATTAATCCTACCTTTATGCTCTAAGTAAACTTGTTCTACACATAAAAATACACCATTTTGGTATAAGTTTACTTTATAATTTTAAATATTTAAAAAAAATATGCTTAGTTTTAGAATTTTGATCAAAATTTCAAGATTAAGCATATTTTTTTAAATATTTAAATTTATAAAATAAATGTATACTGAAATAGTGTATTTTTATGTGTAGAACAAGTTTACTTAAAGCATAAAGGTAGAATTAATTAGTAAAATTTTAAAGATCATAATATTTTTTATAATTTTATTAATAAAATTATGAAAAATATTATGATCCTTAAAATTTTACTAATTAATCCTACCTTTATGTTCTAAGAAAACGTGTTCTACACATAAAAATACAATATTTTAGTATACGTTTACTTTATAATTTAAAAAAAATATGCTTAATAATCCGATTGTAGGTTATTTTTTAAGAATATTTATAATTTATACCAGGGGATATTAATAACCTCCCTAGATTAACAAAATAAAATTCGATGAAAATCATGTGACGCACCAATAAATAATATCACATGACAACGAACATCAATGTAACGTAAAACCAAGACGTGCTCAATTACAACAGACAATGTTACATAACTACCTAATATGTAATAAGAATGGTTAGGTATGTATCTATATAGTATGTAATACATGCACATATCAGAATATATCATATTAACTCTTATCATTATCCAATGTATACATATACATATTGCATATATCGATATGAAGTATAGTATCCAACTATTAACTTCAGAACTTATATAGAATTTAACGCCAATCCAACTGTAAGTATTTAATCGTACATCGCAAGATATTAACATTTTAATAGCAATGATAGTGAAGATACAGCTAGAATTAGAGAATTAGAAAAAGAGGAATATGTCAACGGATGTGTTTTATGATAGGAAAATTAGCTAATAACGATATATTCTTCTAATGACTTTTAGATCAAACTAGACAGTTGACTTAATATCTATGTAAATATAAAAAAAAGAATGGTTAAAGTTATTCAACGATCATAAAAAAATTTTTTTTTAAAAAAAGTGATTCTATTATAAAAACCTCTAACCCTAACCTCTAACCCGAAAAAAGAACATTACTATTGTTCACTCTTACCCTAAATCTTAAAAAAAAGAACTTAATTAGTGTTTACTTTTACTCTAACTTTTAAGAAAAGTTAAGCATATCGAATTTTGAGCTTATTCAATACAGTATAATCAATTGATATTACACTTTATTTTTACTAAGTTAAGCAACATGCAATCAAATTAACATAGCATTTGTAAATTCTATATAAATCATGAACTCATAATATAAAACAAATTTTGATTTGGATGCAATCTTTAAACATAAGATCAATTCAATTTGGTATAATCAATTGATATTACACTTCATTTTTACCAAGTTAAGCAGCATGCAATCAAATTAACATAGTATTTGTAAATTCTATATAAATCAGGAAACTAGTGTTTGTAGTCGAATTTGCATTAGTAGATAAAATTAGCTTAGCCAGCTTAGTCAGCCGATTTTTCAAAAAATCGACTTAGTCAACTCTATAATAGGTTATATAAATTATATTAAAAATTTAGGCCAGTTTATAGTAAAATCTGAAAATTTCTGAAAAGAAAATCAACAAACATAAAATATGAGCAAGGTTGACAAAAATTTGAGGAAATCTCTGATAACATCCGAAGGTTAATCAAATAAAACTAAGAATAATTGACTCTGATTTAGCCGTCTAGGCTGATTTTTAAATATCGACTTAGTCAAGTCAATAAATAATGGTTGACTACAAACACTATATGAAACTCATAATATTATATTTCTTGACTAACACAAAGATACTACAACTACAGAATCATACTAAATAACATAATTATAAATTGCAACCTAAAGTTTTGCCCACTGTTTTGTATTTAAGAAACTATTTTTCAGGGCAATTTCGAGAATCATGGTATCATGATTTATATACAGCACATTGACACTTGTTTTTCTTTTTTGGTCTTGACTCTGAATCTTCGTTTTGATTATTTGAACTGACGTTATTGCTATTATGATTCTCAATTGCTGATAAGTATCTTTTGTTTGCAGGGCGGCCTCTACCTTTATGCTGAGATGGATTTGAAATTTTAAAACTACCATCTTGATTTAACTCTGGTTCAGATACATTTTTATTTTGTACTGATGCTTGTTCTTCAATAAATCGTTGTAATATGTTTTCTAAAACAATATTAGAACCGTCATGACTGCTATATCCAATGCCTTTTTACAAAGCCCAAGACCACAACCATATGAAACCTTTTTTGAATCTAATTTTATAGCATTTCTGACATTAATTTCTTGCCCATGAATCCTTTCTAATATTTGAAATGTACTAGTTGGAATTGGTTCATCATTTTGTACCACCTGAACAGATAATTCTTGATTTTTGTCAAACACTACAAGACCTTCTTCAGAAAACCAACGTAACGGAATCAACTTCATATTGAAAAGTGCTTTCTTTGAATGAATTATAACGGCAAAAAAATATTAGCAAATGAATCCAGCATATATTAATTATAAACATGTACAATAATATGTACCATCTTTAAGCAATAAAACAAATTGCGAATGGTTTGTTGTACTTTGGATATGCTTAACTTTCCAAGTTTTTTTCACGCCAATTCCATGACAATCCTCTAAGGCTACATTTAATAGAATTTGTAGTTCTTAATAATCATCTTCTATAAATCTAATATTATGACTATCTGACTTCTAATCAAATAATATATACAATCCAACCTTTACTTATAGTACAATTTTAAAACAAAACAAGACAAAAACAAAAAAAAAACTTTCCTGATTTGTAGTAATGTTACGATTATTAATACATAATAAAGTCCTATACAAAAGATATTCTGACATCTGCCTTCATTGTAAAGCTAATGAATTAGGTGTAAGATACTTCTTACATATATAGTCAATCTCTTTAAAAATTGTATTAGAAACATTAGAAAAACCTGCCGTAGGATTCATATTTCGGAACTCTTGTAATCTTGCATATTTGGCTTCATCTTTAAGTCTCAATTCAATTCCTGTTTGAAGTTGACATAAAGAGTTTCCAGAGTTGGCTTCTAATTTTATAACATGATTTATACTTTCAACACGTTATATTGAATGGGTGTTTGCTAAAAAATTTTGTTTTGTAAAGGCATATACCCAATATTCTTTTGTTAGATACAATACTTGATTACAGTAACCTTGAACTTCTGGATATTTGTTCATCAGATCTGCCCAGTGACTGTCAAAGTCAGATACTGCAATTGAATTCCGAAGTGTATAAAAATCAGAAATGAATCCATCCTACTTGTTATGAAGCTTTTTTTTAGCTTTTTTAACCAGATTTTGTCGAATGTGAAATGCATAGTGCCAAACTATAGTCCTAGGATAACAGTTAGATAAAGCTACTTGCATCACCAGATCCGATCTGTAAATATAGTCGTTGGTTGAAGATCACCGGTAGCTACCTTAGTTTGTTCTAATATCCACTCATAAGTTGAGACTATCTCATCACTAACCACAGCTGTTGCTACAATTCTGCTTTGTTACTTTGAGTCGATTACAATAAATATACTTAGAGGCATCATATATTTGTTTGTTTTGTATGTATTTTCATTAATGACAACATCATGGAATCTGGCCCACAAACTTTTTTGATCAGGTGACATCCAAAATATCCTGAAAAGCCTATTATCAATACCTTCAAAATCGATTTTGAAATACCAATTCAGATTCTCTTGCTATAGCCTTACTAAAGATTCATATAAAGTTAAAGCATCATTTTTAGTTTGGGTATCAGCCTTGAATCTACTAATCATATTATAAAGATCCCTATTATAAATCTCTTGATCAGAAAACCTATTCCGTAATATTCGTTTTAAAGCTGTTGCTCCCAAATTGCACTCCTGAATATAAATCCTAATCTCTTCTTTTATATGTGTAGGTAGTTTTCATGATGATAGCGAAACTTGAAGCAAATTACTATCTTTTAATGTATAATTATGTTTTTCAACAAGTTTGTTGACAAATACACAATTTGGCAGTTTTCTATATGACGCATTTAACACAAAATCACACTCTATACAAGCTGACTCACACTCTTTATTTGTTGTAGGATCTACCTTTTTGGGTAAATATTTACCACCATGTCAGCATTTATAAGTTTTTCTAGAACAAAAATTATTTTTATTTTCAACTCGTATGATCTTAGTTTCAAAACCCATTTTGGTAGAATAGTGTTTCAAACATTTTTCAAGTGACTTAAAAGTAAGAAAAGTCTGCCTGGTATATATCTCTTTTAAAGGACTATCTTCAAGCTTATCTTCTGAATCACTTTCATATATGTTATCTCCTACATTTTTAATTATAGGTGTGAAACTGGACCAATATTCTAAATTATCACTTTCAAACACATCATTTTCAATATTTTCAATTCCAGGCGCAAGATTGAACTGATATTCGAGATCACTATTTTCAAACATATTATCTTCAATGTTTCCAATTACAGATATGAAATTAGACTGATATTCAAATTCACCACTTTCTACCACATTATCTTCAACATTTTTAGATGCAAAATTGGACTGATATTCAAAATTGCCACTTTCAAATACATCAATATTTCCAATTTCAGATAAAGTAGTAAGCTCGTTTATAAATTCATCAAAGTTCTTATTGAAAGGTAAAGCAAAATCAATATCATCATTAGAGCAATGCAAAATTTCGTTATCCATATAATACACAGTCGAAGCTTTCAGATTTCAGGAACCTAAAAAAAATTTTTAATAATAATAAAACTTGAGTGAAACATCTGAAACAAATTTTCACTATAAAGTGTCATATGTTTAAAAGTTTGAAGAAGGTACATGAAAAAAAATGCGTAAATCTAAAAAAAACAAGTTTAGCTATAACAAGGTAAAAACTTCATGACAAAATTGCAGAAAAAAGTCTAAACAAAATTTACTGTAAAAAGGCCGTATGCTTTGAATGTGTGTATAAAATATGAAGAAAAAAAGAAAACACATAAAATACTAAAAAAAAAGATGCAATACATTAGTAAAAATTTCTACTAAAAAGTTTCTCTCATTCACAAATGTGATAGAATGTGAAAAAGGATTTTATATATCGAAGTGCATGCCAGTTTCCTACAAGTCTATTTTTTAGACGTTAACTTTACCCAAACATAAGAAAAAGAAGTTTAATTATCCTGTGATTAGGTACCTTTTATTTGTTTGTTTGTTTGTTTTTAATGTTCGATCAGTTGTATAAACTCATTTTTACTACTAATTACCCAATTAACAATATATTATATATGCTTACGGGGGTATTAATATCCACTGGGAGGTTATTAATAACCCCTTTATTGTAATTATTATTATTAATATTTATTATCATTATTATAAAGGGGTTATTAATAACCCGGTAGATAGTAATAACCCCTAGTAAGAAGATGATTTACCCTTAATTTTATATATTATTAATAAATATGTTATATAGTTAAAAATTATAATATAAAAATAAAAAATATTATTGCTAATAATAATCAAATTACTAAATCAAAAATAGTTATTATTTAAAATTGGAGCAATTAATAGTGATTATTTTTTTTAATAATAAGGTAAGTACTTAAATCTAGTATATTTTATTAGTACTAAATATAATACTTAATTAAACTAAGTAATATTATATATATTATAAAAGTATAACTAGTTATATATATAACTTTTGTTTGTTTATTTAAGTTGTTTATTTTTAGGTTTTATAACAAAAGTTATATCTATAATCTATCTATTAGAAGATCACCTATTTAAACTCTCTAACTCTATATTTGTATTATAATATTTATATCTAATTTTTTTATTTAAAAATTTAAAACTTTGACCTCTAGTATCTAATTTTTTTTTTAAAACTAATGGGTATTTTATCTCTATATTAAACTTGCTAAAATAGTATATATTATATATATATTTAACCAAACTTTGGTAATCTATATTATAACTTTACTTATATACTTGTGAGTTGTTTATCTTTATAGTTATTTATTTTGCTCTTGTAAATTTGATATTAAGATTCTAATACACACTTCTTATTATTTTTTTGTTTTGTGTTTTTGGTTTTATTAGCTTTTCAATCTAGATAGCTTAGTAAGATTAGTCTTTTCAGACTTTAGATACTTTTTAGATTTTCTTTTCTTTATATATACTTTTAAAGCATATATTCTTTTTTCTAATATAATTTTAGTTGTATAGTTAAAAAATTTTTTTGCCAAAGATTTTTTGTTATCCAATTCTACTAGTTTTATAGTTTAGTCTAAATTGGTTCTGTTGTACTAATAAAGATCTTTACTACTTTTTTGCTTAGATTTTGCCAAGCTAATTTAAGTTTTTTATTAGTTTTATATAGTTTCAAAAGCCTTATTATAGGTTTGTGCTACTTATACTGGTTTGTATTTTTTTGTATAATCTAAGTATTATATAAATACTTCTAAAATTTTTTACTACATAAGGTATATTAATATAACTAGAGTTATTGATATAGAATTTATTTATTAATAAAAATTGGTTAAAAATAAATAGTACTATTTTAAAATTATATATAAACTTAATGATAAATTTTTTTATATTTAATTTTATAAAAAATTATATTAAGTAACCTAATTTTAATTTTAAAAAAAAGTTTGTAGAGTAGATTTTTTTAGTACTTGATACAATTAAATAAAAATTTAATAGTTAAATACTTGTTAATATTTGTAATTAAATTAGACATTAAATAATTGCAGATTAATCAAGAGTAAATATTTAGCTTTAGTTAATTTGCAATTGTTTGATATCTAATTTAAATATAAGTATTAACAAGTATTTAACTGTCAAATTTTTTTTGATTGTGTTAAGCACTAGGTTTTTCTAATTTTAATAGTAGTAAAGTCATTAAAATTAGTTAAAAACTTAGTAAGTTCTAAATTTTTAAAGATTAAATATAAAAATTTATAATAAAATTAACTTATAGGTTTATATATATTAACCAATCAAATTTAGCAAGTTTGTATAATTTAAAAAATTTTAAGCAACACAAAAAAGCTTTGTGATATATATAAGTATATTTTTTTAAATAATATAGTAGTTTAAAATTTTACTATAATAGATAAATTAGATCTTATTTAATATAAGTAGAAATATAAAAATATTATAAAATTATTTAATATAAAAAAGCACTAACTCTAAGTCTACCCTAATTATTATTTAAACTATAATCCTTATTTTAACTCTAACTATTCATAAATTTGTTTAAATTAGTTCAAATAGTTATTTTTATATATTATAATCTTATAATACCCACCTATACTAAATATTAACTAATAAATTATTTTATTTATATTTTATAAAATTTTGCCTAAAATTAATTATAACTATAAAAAGTTTTATTAGTAATATATTATTAATTTCTATATAAACCTTATTGTATCACTAAAATTATAATAAAATAAACTAAATACCCTTACTCTTAATATAATACAAATATTTTTGGCTAAAATATTATCAGTAGAATTTAAACTTGGTATTATAGTTAAGCTAGCTTGAAAGTATAGCAACAACACTACTATACTAAGTTGCTATATCTAAATACAAATTATTATTATTTTTTTTTAATATTAAAGGTGACCACTTAGGCCATTGGTATGAGCTTTATTTGGATAGTTATGATATTACATCAGATTCACGAGGATACAACTAGCCACACGTACACCTTTTGAGTATC